TGCATACATGTATGCCTATATACATACATACATACATATACATATATATATATATATCCGGGGAGTATTTTCAAAGAAGGGTTTTCTCCCCCATACTTCTGGCAGTTTAGGTTTAAAGGTCAGATTTAAACTATCACCATGTTTCACAATGCAATCTGTGCAGTGCCGCGTAATGAAATGGTTCAGTAAAGGTGCTCGTGGAAATTCTTTTAATTAGGTCTAAGGCTTTTCAGTTGTCAACATGAATAAACCAAGAACCATTCTCTTGCAAACACAAGGCACAAAATACAAATGTAAGTTACCTTTGAAAAAAACAGATATGCACTTGCAAGAGGGAAGTTATACGTGTTTTGTTTTGTTTTTTTTACAACATATTTCCGCCAATTTTTTTTTTTTTTAATGCCAACATCTTTCAACAACAAAATGGACTGCAAATCAAAAATAAAAGGGGTTGGTCTATTTCTAATGAACCAGGACACTAATGCCTGGTTCTAATGAAAAGTATTTGCAGAAAGACTAAAGTTAACCGTAACTAAAAATGTTTATCAAGAGATTAATGACTTTCTTCATGGGCAAAAGCCACCTATCTATTTAACTATAATTAATTCTATAGATCGGTGGTATTTCAGTCAGAATGTGAATGTCCCAGAATGACTCCTGCAAATTGAATGATATCTATTAAAAATGCACCAAAATGCACTTTTGCCCTCAGCAGCACTATCTGAGACCTAAAAGATGAGCTTATCACAGCAGGAACATCATCAAGACTCCGGCTTTTCAAAGCAATGTTGACAAACTAAACTACTCAGATTTGGAATTTTTAGCCATCAGCTCAAAGCTAAATCTAGGGATTGAAACTCGCAAAATGAAAACTGTAAGAACGTGGTAGGTTGCTTGGGGCTGTTGGATTACATTCACACCGAGCTCTGATAGAAAAAGCAAAACTAAATAAACAACTCCAAATATCACCAGCAGCTCAGATTTAGATGGATAGAGAGGTGTTGGCTAAAGCCAACTGGCCTGAGACTTCACGTGGAATGGGGCCGCTCGTAATATACATGTGGAATGGATCGGTGTTATCAACCAACCAACGGATGAATGTATGGCTAGCGAACCCTGAGCATGAAAGTACAACACCCAAAAGTACGCTGATTTTTAGTCTGGGTTCAACTTCTGCCTCAGAGGCTGGCTATTTGCTGGAGGCCTCTAGGCAAGCTACTTAACCTCTTCTCTTCATCCATAAAAAAGGGGGAAAGTACCACCACCTCCAAGACATTTGTTTCAGAATTGTTATGTAGATTAAATGTCAAGACTTTCAAAGCCTCTAGCACAGTGCCTGGCACATAGTAGGAGCCTAATAGATGGTGACTGTTCTTCCACACAACTCAACTCCAAAGCCAAAACCACCCTAGCCATTATTGTAGCATAAAAAAGAATAATGGACTCACAATTAACATTTTCTAGGGCATCAATTACTGAAATGTCACTCATTATGCTAAGCCTGGTGGGTTTATTTAGTGACCCAAACTCGGTGTGTATTTGGGAGTTAATGAAGTGCGTGGTGTTTACAAAGATAAAAGCGGGATTTGTCTCAGCAACAATCCTGGGCTGAATGGATATAGATTTCCATGCTTAGGGATGCAGCCAGGCTGGATCCATGGTGGATCACATGGATACATCCGCGCAGAGTGAGATATCTCCCAATGGGATCTGGGCATCTCTACCTCCTCGAGGGAGAAAAAAACAGGAAGGGGGGGGTGGGAAGTGTGTATAATAGATGTGTTTCACAGTGTCCCTGCTGTGATGAACAACTTGATCCACTTACAGTTCCAAACACATGATGCATAAAAGAGCTGACAGAAATTCAATTCTTGCAAAGAAAAGCATCTGCTCTCTAGTGGGAACGGCCAAATATTAAGCAGTTTTAAGGCAGGGCAAAGACCTAGAGGAGCACACATCATTATCTAGATAGCCAGAGTAAAGAAATGCAGAGGATTACAAGCGGACGAACGAAAAAGTAGCCGAGATTCCAAGCATTAATTACCCGGAGTGAAATGATTCAAGTTAAATCTTTGTTACGACAAATATTAAACCCAGCTGTGTTTACGTAGCAGTTGTGAAAAAGAAGAAAAAAAGAAATCCGTGTACAGTATCTGTGAGCTCTGCCAGTTAATTGAATTCGCTGGCAGCATTTCCTCCACCACGAGCCAAACATCCTCAAAGATAAAATGTAGCTTTTAAACAGACCTGGGGAAACGGAATCAAGAAACTTCAACCAATAAAACACAACTCTTTACTGGTATAAAAGTAAAGTAAAATTCAGTAATGAAAGGAAGGAAGTCTCTTAAACATTTACTGCATTCCAAAGCTTGGAGCTGCGGTTTATTGCTGAGGTCTCTTCTGATGTCCCACAGTGCTCCTGCTCCAGCATCTTTAATGAAGTCCCATAAACTCGCATAAAATACTTGATTGTTGACAAATCATATACACACACTCAGGGCAAGGCCCCACTGGATCACGATGCTCCTTCTCTCTCTCTGCATCAAATTTACAAGTTATGGAGTGGACACTATCATGGAGAGTGGCCAACACAGAACAGAGACCTACAGACAATTACTTAAAAGCATGAGGGATGAGTGACTGGTGACAGGCAGACACCTGAAGACCTACAAACCATGAAGCCCAAAGCCAAAACATTCCAGTGTTTCAGATGAGACGAGGAAAGATGATTTTTCCATCATAAAACTGGTAATAGTCATATTATGGAAAATTTGGAAAATAGGAGAAAAAATGCTAACCCTTGACGTTACCATCTTAATACACTACTGTTGGCAATTTGGAAGGTATTTTAAAAATCTTTTACTTCTGGGTATCTGGCTGTTTTTCTTCCTTAGTCTCATGGTGGATGTATCACTTAATATTCTGCTTTCTTCACTAAATTGTATCTTTGGCATTTCCTATGTTGCCCATAATCTTCATAACCATCATTTTTAATGACTGTAGGGTACATGCCACTGAATAGCAGTAGGTTAGATTACCTTAATTACTCCCCTTAATTTTGGATATTAAGGTTGCTTCCAACTTCAGCTAACATTAACATAAACAATGCTATTTGGTTAGGTGACTTTCTCCATTTAGAAGTATTTGCCAGAAAGAAAAAACCTTAAAGTCAAATTACTCGGTCAAAAAAGAATACACTTTAATGTCCCATTACATATATCCTCATATAAGAAAGTGTATTATAAAAGAGCACCACTCAGGCTATAGAAAGCATGAAGTAAAAAGTAAGCGGACAGTAAAGGCTTCCACATATATGTGCATACACAAAAGCCTACAAATTCCAGGCCAACGAATATTAAAAAGGACTCTAACTGAGCCATGGGAAATCTTGTTCTCCAGTAATAAAATGTGGTATGTCCACATCACTGGAAGCCTGGAAGAGTTTGAACTCCCTTTTATCAAGCTTTTTAAAAGCCCTACAATCTATGTACTGGCTAAGCAGCTTACATTTAATACTCATTTTTTTTTTATATAAAGATTTTATTTATTTACTTGACAGAGAGAGACACAGCGAGAGAGGGAACACAAGCAGAGGGAGCAGGAGAGAGAGAAGCAGGCTCCCCGCAGAGCAGGGACCGGATGCGGGGCTCCATCCCAGGAACCTGGGATCACAACCTGAGCCGAAAGCAGACGCTTAACCATCTGAGCCACCCAGGTGCCCTGGTACTCTTTTTTTTTTTTAAAGAATTTATTTATTTATTTATTTATTATAATAATTTTTTTTTTAGGGGGAGTAGAAGCAGAGAGGGAGGGAGAGAGAGAGAGAATCTCAAGCAGGCTCCATGCCCAACACGGAGCCTGATGCAAAGTTTGATCTCACGACCCTGAGATCATGACCTGAGCTGAAATCAAGAGTAGGATGCTTAATCGACTGAGCCACCCAGGTGCCCCTACACTTAATACTCTTGAAGGAACAAGAGATGTTATTTAAAATTTAGGGAAGAAATAGGTGAAGAGTGCTTAGTTAAAAGGCTGTGGAGGGAGGGGACATTATGTTTTTGTTCTCTGCACCCTGGTGGCCTTGAGATAAACATGAAGTCTATAAGCAGGCATGGAGATCAATAAGAAATGGACTATTCTTGCAACATTCCTCCTCCAAAATCCACAGCTGGGGAACAATACAATATTGTCAGTAAGAAATGTTGTATCTGGGGACGCCTGGGTGGCTCAGTCGTTAAGCGTCTGCCTTCGGCTCAGGTCATGATCCCAGTGTCCTGGGATCGAGTCCCACATCGGGCTCCCTGCTCCACGGGGAGCCTGCAAAAAAAAAAGAAAAAAGAAATGTTATATCTGTAAGTCTCATGGAACCCAACAAAATACAACAGTATTAGCCTTGTCCATCTGTCTAGGTACCTAGTAGAAAGCCAGAACCACCCTATGTCTAAAGTTACCCCTTTACCCGTGTTCATAAATCACATGAAAATCAACAGTGCTATTCTGAAAGCTACTCAATATTGGAGGCTCCTTTTTAAAATTCATTTCCAAGTCCTCTTCTTTTTATTTTATTTTTTTTATTTTTTATTTTTTTTAAAGATTTTATTTATTTATTTGACAGAGAGACACAGCGAGAGAAGGAACACAAGCAGGGGGAGTGGGAGAGGGAGAAGAAGGCTTCCCGCAGAGCAGGGAGCCTGATGCGGGGCTCAATCCCAGGACCCTGGGATCATGACCTGAGCCGAAGGCAGACGCTTAACGACTGAGCCACCCAGGCGCCCCCAGTCCTCTTCTTTTTAAAAATTACCTTGAGTCATAACGGATATATGACAGAATGCATACAAAACACAGTTTGAGGAGTTGTGACAAATGTATGCCACCTGTGTGACCACCACCACAATCAAGAAACAGAATGCTTCCTTCACCCCAAAATGTTCCTCGGTGCCCCTGTCAGTCAGTCCCCGTCCTCCCCATCCCAGCCCAAGGAAACTGCTGATCTGCCTTCATCCACCACAGAACAGCTTTCTCTCTTCTAGAATCTTACATAAATGAAATCATATAGTATATTCCCTTATGTCTGGCTTCTTTTGCTCAGTGTGAGATAGTTCAGATTCACCCATGTTGTTGAACAGATCAATTGTTTCTTTCTATTGCTGAGTAGTATTCCTTTGTTTATACATTCACCAGTTGAAGGACACTTGGGTTAATTTCCAGTTTTTGGTGATTATGAAAAAAGCTGCTTAAGGACATTTACATACATGTATTTGTGTGCACGTAAGTTTTAATTTTCTTGGGTGAATACCCAGGAGTGAAATACTTTGTCAGAGAGTAAACATAGGTTTAAGATACACATTTATAAGAAATGCAGTCATTTTATTTTGGTCACACCAGTGGGTATAAGGCGGTATGCTCATTGTGTTACTAATCTGCTCCTTCAAGGGTTGTGTGCATTGGCCATTTGAATATCTTTTACTGCTCAGTGTCTCTTCAATCTTTCGCTACTTTTTAATTGGACTGTCTCCTTATTATTGAGTTTGAGGGTTCTTTGTATATTCTGGGAAAAAACCCTTTTTCATATATACGTATGGAGAATATTTCAGTCTATGGCTTGCTTCTTCATTTTTTCAATGGTGCCTTTTGAAAAAGATAAGCTTTTATTTTTATGAGGTTTAATTGATCACTTTTTCTTTTATGATGTGTGCTTTTTGTGTCTTATCTGAGAAATCTTTGCCTATCCCAAGTTCATGAAGATTTTCTTCTCTATTTTCTTCTACTTATAGTTTTTGCTTCTGGGTTTCAGTCCATAATCCATTTTGAGCTAATATTTACATGAGGTAAAAGTCGAGATTCACTTTGTTGTGGTAGCATCTGTTGAAAAAAAAAAAAAAACCCTATCATTTCTCTACTGAATTACTTTAGCGTATTTGTTGGAGATCCACTGGCCATTTACATGTGGGTCTAATTCTGAAATATTTGTTGTGTTCTATTGAACTATATATCTGTACAAGCTACATTTATTATAACTGCATAGTAAGTCTTGAAAGTAGGTAATGTAAGTCCTACAACTTTGTTCTTTTTCAACAGTGTTTCGGCTATTCCAGATCTGTCGCATATTCATATACATTTCAGAATTAGCTTGTCAAGTTGTTTTTTTTTTTCTTTTTAAGCCATCTGGAATTTGGGTTGGGAATATATTGAATCTATAGATCAATTCAGGGAAAATTAACATCTTTAAAATGTTGAGTCTTCCAATCCAAAACATGGAATATCTCTCCATTTGTTTAGGTCTTTTAAATTTTTTCTCAGAAATATTTTATAGCTTTTGGTATACAAATTTTACATATATTTTGTTAAATTTATTCCTAAATACTTTGTGTTTTGTATGCTATTTTTAGTGGCACTTTAAATTTTTCATTTTCCAACTGCTTATTACTAGTATATAGAAATATATTTGTCTTATATACTGACCTTATCCTGCATGCTTGCTAAACTCATTTATGAGACTCCTTAGGATTTCCCATATACATGGATCATGTCTGAATGAAGACAGTTTTACTTCCTCCTTTCTAATATTTAGGGTTTTTCTTTTCCTTGTCTTAGCGAACTGGTTAGAAAGACCAGTCAATGCCGGACAGAAATGGGAAGAGCAGATATCCTTTTTTTGGTTCTCATTCTGAGAGGAAGAGCATTCTATTCTTTCACCATTAAGTAAGATGTTAGCTGTAGGTTTTTTCTAGATGCTCTTGATCACAACGGGGATACCTAGTTTGTGAGGATCTCTTAATCATGATGGGTGCTGAGTTTTTCCTAAAATAATTTGTCGGTATGTTTTGATACCGTTTTTCTTTTTTAGTCTGTTGATATGGTAAACTAGATTGATTGATTTTCAAATATTTAGCCAATCTATATTCATTTGGTCACCATGTATTGTTAATATTTTATTAAAGATTTTTACATATATATTTATGAGGTATATTGGCCAGTAGTTTTCTTTTCTTGTAAATTCTTCATTTGGTTTTCATGTCAGAGTAATGCTAACCTCATAAAGTAAGTAGGGAAGTGTTCCTTTCCCCTTTATTTTCTTTTTTTTCCCCCCTTTATTTTTTCAAAAAGTTAGCGTAAGATGCTATCTGTTCTTAAGTGCATGATAGAATTAATGAAACTATCTGGAACTGGAATTTTCTCTGTGGGAGTTTTAATTACAAATTCAAATTTACTTAATAGAAATAGTGTTATTTTTCTTATCGTGTAACTTTCTGTAATTTGTGTATTTCCAAGAATGTTTATTTTACCTAATTTATCAAAAGTTATAGGCATCAAGTTCTTTATAATCATTCCCTTATTTGCTTTTCTCTTTTCTTTTTAAAAAATATCCTATTTATTTTGGAATAGTTTTAGACTTCCAGAAAAGTTGCAAAGATACTACGAGAGTGCCCATATACTCCACACTCTGGTTTCAGTTTCACCGAGTAGGTCTTATATTATCACAGTACATTTGTCAAAACTGAGAAGCCAATGCTGGCACATTATTAACTCAATTCCAAACATTATTGTGATTTCACTGATTTTTCCATTAATGTCCTTTTCCTATCCCAGTATCCAGGTCCAGAATTCCACCTTGTGTTCAGCTTGTGCCTCAGTCTTTCCTATGTTTTTTTTTTTTTTTTAGGACCCTGACAGTTTTGAGAAGTACTCAGCAGGTATGTTATAGAATGTCCCTCAATTTGAGTTTAACAGAAGTTTTTGTCATTATTTGACTGGGTTTTTGGAAAGAATACCAGAGAGGTCATGTATCCTCATCGTATCAAGGTCACGTGATATCCACACGACATCACTGGTGATGTTAATCGCTTGAAGTAGTGTTTGACATTTGTCCGCTCAAGTTACACTTTTTCCCTTTCCCTACTCCGTTTCTTGGAAATGAGTCACTAAGTCCAGCCCACGCTCGTGTGTGTGTGTGTGTGTGTGTGTGTGTGTTGCAGGAGAGGGGTGAGCGGGATTAAGCTCCTTCTCCTAGAGAGGCGAGTATCTACAGATATTATTTGGAATTCCTCTATGAGGAAGATTTGCCTCTCGTCCCCCATCCACTCTCTTTTGGTTGGCATTTGCACTGTGTATCTTTTCCATCCTTTTACTTTTCATCTACCTGACTCTTTAAAATGAAATTCTTGTGGACAGCATACAACTGGGTTCTGATTATTTATGTAATTTATTACTCTCCTTTAATTAAGAGTATTTAGACAATATACGTTTAATGTAATAATCAATATAGTTAGGAAAGTTAGCAGGATGATAGATTTACCCATTTGTTCCATCTGTGTTTGGTTTCTTTATCCTCCCCCCTCCCCCCCAAATATTTTGGATTTTTAATGTTGGCTTATTAGCTACATGTTTTTTTCCCCCTTAGTGGCCCCTCTAAGAGTTACAGTATACACCTTTAACTTAATAGTCTACCTTCAAATTATGTTATATCAGTTTACATAGAATTTAAGAATCTTTAAACAGTGTACTTCCTTTCTCCATCCCCACCCTGTCCTCTGTGCTACTGTTGCCGTATATTTTACTTCTACCCATGTTACAACACATAATACATTGGTATTATTTTTACTTTAAATACTCAGTTGTCTTTTGTAGAAACTAAAAATGAGAACAGAAGTCTGTTATATTTACCTACATACTAACTATTGCTGGCACTCTTCCCTCCCATTTTTCTTCTGAAGAACTTCCTTTAACATTTCTTGTAGTGTCTGCTGACAATGATTTTCTCTCACTTTTTTTCTCTGAATAGGTCTTAATTTTGCCTTCCTTCTTGAAGGATATTTTCATCCTATTGAAGGACATAGATTTATAGGTTGACAAAAATGTTCCTTCATTACTTTTAAAATGTCATTCCATTATCTCCTGGCTTACGCAGCTTCTTATAATTAGTCTTCCGTCATTACTTCTTTCTTTTATACAATGTGTCTTTTTTCTCCAGCTAATTTTAAGCCTTTCTCTTTATCACTGGTTTTGAGTAATTATCATTTTGGGCTTTTGTGTGGTTTTGTTTGGATCTACTATGCTTGTGGTTTGTTGAGCTTCTCAGGACTCTGACTTTATAATTTTCATCAAAAGTAAAAAAAAAAAAAAAAAAGCTATAATCTTTAAATAATTTTTTCTCTTTCCCTACTTTCTTCTCCTTCTAGGATGGTAAGTGTCTTAGTCCTCTTGATATTGTGCTATGGGTCCTTGAGGTTCCATTAACCTTTTCCTGTCTTTTCTCTTTCTCTGCTTCATACTGGCTAATTTTCATTGCTATGTTTCTCAAGTTCCCTCATCTTTTATGTGGTGGTGTCTAATATCCACTTAAACCTTAGTGAAATACTCATTCCAGGTATGATATTTTCCACGTCTACATGTTCCTTTTCAGTCTTTTTATATTTTCTGTTTCTCTTCTCATTTAGTTCAGGTCTTCCTCTAAATTCATGAGCATATTTATAATCTTTATATCTTAAGGTCTTTGCTAATTCCACCATATCTGTCATTTCCAAGCTTGTTTCTATTAACTAGTTTTTCTCTTGGCTATGGGTTACATTTTTCTAATTCTCAACGTTTCTTGTACCTTTACAATAGGATGGCAGATACTGTGAATGTTATACTGTTGGGTGTGGATTTTATTGTCTTTTTTATTTTTTAAGATTTTTAATTTTTTAAAGTGATTTCTACACCCAGTGTGGGGCTCAAACTCACAACCCCAATATTAAGAGTCACATGCTCCACTGACTGAGTCAGCCAGGCACCTCTATTTGTCTTCTTTTAAAGAGGGTTGAAGTTTATTTTGACAGAAAGTTGAATTTCTTGCATACCAGGCCTTTTCTTTTTAAAGAAACAGTTTTGCTTAAAACTTTCACTGAAGTTTACAAACATAAAGTACACATAACATTGGTGTTCAGCTTGACGAATTCTTGCCCAATACCAGTAACTGGTATTAAACAACAACAACACCCCCCCAGCATGTTGCCAGCATTCCCGAAGCCCTCTCTTAAGCTCCTCAAAGCTTGCTGTTAAGCTTTGTGAGGGCAAGGCTAAAATTATCTTTACTCTAGAGCCAACTCAGAGTACTACCAAGGCATGGCCTCCTGTGGTCTCCAACAATTGCTCCGAGTGATCAACAAGATCTCCTTACTCTGGTTGGTCAGAATTTGAATGTCTCCTACTCTGTGTGAACTCCACCCTACACATGGGCAGGCCCAGTCTTCAGCACATTAGTCAAGAGGACCTGATTTCAATTTCTGGAGCTCTTTTGATGAGTGCCTTCCAGTCTGGTACTCTGACCCACAAATGTAAACCACCTCTCCCTCAGATCTCTGACCCTTCAACTCAGCAAGACTGTTGTGCTTTGCTGGGGAACCCCCGCCTCGTGGCACCACGGTCCAGAAATGTCTCAACGCAAAAAGCCAGGGGAGATGGTAGGCCTCCCTTCACTTGTTTCCGTTCAATGTCCTGAAGTGCCTGTTGTCCAACATGTGAAAACTGTTGTTTTTATATCTGTCCAGAGTTCTAGTTGTTAATGGTGGGAGGATAAAGCCAGTTCCAATTATTCCATCATGGCTAGAAGCAGAACAAAGGCCTCTTTTAATAAAATTTCAAGCATGGGTGCCATGTTTTGCAAGATTTCATCTACCAAAATAACCCAATCCATATGTCCCATCCACCCTTCCATCTATCTATTCAGTCGCTGCTACATCTCTGTGAAACAAAGATGAATAAAACTTAATTCCTGCCCTCACAGAACTGACAATTTTAAAAGGTAAAGCCAGAAATGTGTAATAAATGATAATGCTGGGTGACAAGTATAATTAACACAATCAATACAAGGAGCTCTGAAGATATAGAGAAAGATACAGTCAAATTACTTGGAGAGGTCAGGGAAGGTTTTTACTATTTATTTATTTACTTTTTTTTTTTTTTAAGTAGGCTCCACACCCACCCTGAGGCTTGAACTCACGACCCTGAGATTAAGAGTCGCATGCTCTACTGACTGAGCCAGCCAGGTGCCCCGGGGAAGGTTTTTATAGCCTCACATTTAGTCTTGAAGAATGAGTAAGAGACTGACAGGTGAGATGGGACATTGGGGGGGGGGAGGGGAAGAAACTCTGTATGCAAAGTTTGAAGTTATAAAATAACTTGTGAGGTTTGGAGAACTAGTTAACAGTTCCAAATACCTATAATAAAGGGTTTGGAGCTAGGAGGGGAGTAAGTTCAAGCTATGGGAAAACACAGGAGGGTCAGAACCTGAAGGAGGACCCTGAATGCCATGATCATCATCATTTGCACCCATAAATCATTACCACTACCATCTATCATACACATAGGATATATGTTTTACATATATTATATACATTACATTCAATTCCCACAACAACCTATGAGGAAACGAAGGCTCAGAGAGCTTAAGGAATTTTGACCGAGATCACATGGCTAGTAAGTGAAGAAGCCAGGATTTAAACACACGTCTGTCTGATTTCAAAGCCAACAAAAGGAATTTGCCTCTAAGCTATAGGCACTGGGAAGTTCGGGGAGGATATTTTATCTTTCAGAGTTTTGTTTTGTTTTTTTAGTTTTTTAATTATATTCATTGATGGAGTGGTTTTAAGAGGGAAATATAGTTAGATTTATTTTTGGAAAGGTCGCTCTGGTGCAAGAGGAGGAAGGGCTGGATTCTGAAGACCAAGTTCGGAGGCTGCTGATAATAGTGCAGGAGAGAAATAAGAGCTTGGATTAGGTGGTGTAGGGAGAGATGGGGAAGAGGATTTGACAAATAGTTTAAGAAGCAGAATTTGTCAGATACTGTAAACAGGCCGCTCTGACAAAAGGGGAAATTGTGAGGTCAACTGTGGATATGCTGGTACCCTAAAAGTACCTGGACCTTTGCTGAATGCAGGGGACACAGAGAAGCACAGAATGTGATTTCTTCTCTCAAGGATTTGATAGTTCACATAGCCTTTTAGAATCATATCTGTGAGTTCCACTGAAACACAAATACCTTACAGACCACATTCCCTCTCCATTACTATATCTTTGGAATCTTTAATGGGTCTAGAGCCGCGTGCTGGAACATCATTGTAGAACACTCTCAACCCTGCCACAAACCAATTTGCAAACGAAGAGGACCTTTTCATGTAGGCTGAGGACTGTTAAGGAACCAACTGTCCTCTAACTCTGGCTGTAACTACTAACAATAATTTTATGAAAAACAAATGCAGGTACCTTTTATTGAACACTGACAATGTGTGAGCAGTGTCCCAAGCATTTGAGGAACGTAACCATCTCATTTATTTGCTACAGCAATCCTAACTACAGGGCTCATACTCCTCCTTCCAAGATGGGAGACTGAGCTCAGAGACAAAAAATAACTTGCTCACATTCCTTTGGTTCCCTGAGACCACTTCACTGATCATTTAAAAAGCATCTTGAGGGGGGGGACAGCTGGGTGGCTCAGTCGGTTAAGCATCCGACTTGATTTCGGCTCAGGTCAGGATCTCAGGGTAGTGAGACTGAGCCCCACATCAGGCTCCGTGCTGCGTATGCAGCCTGCTTAAAATTCTCTCTCTCCCTCTTCTCTGCTCCTTCCCCACCCACTTGTGTACAATCTCGCACACACATGCTCAGATGTGTGCTCCCTCTCTAAACAAACAAACAAACAAACAATCTTGGAATGTGCCACCTTCAGGAAGCCTCTATTACCTGTCTCCCAAATTTTCTCATCCCCCCGGGCCCTTCTGTGCTTGATTCCTATTTCCCTTGTGGCCCCTATTATGCTATATCGTGATATAGATGTAATTTACATATCTTTTATCCCCTACTTTCCTCTCTGAAAGAAAGGACTAGATCTGCTTTATCTTTGCTGCTTAATGCCCAGCACTGGGTCAGAGCACTGCAGAGGGACCAGTCCATCCTACTACATGGTTTCTTAACCACCAGTCACTCACTCTGGGCCGTCCCAGGGCTCCTGGCCATTCCTAGGCTCACTTACCATATTCACTCAGGAGCTGCAAGGTCCATACCTCTGGCACCCATGGCTTAAAGGAAAAGCTCTTCCACTGAAAGGGAACCAGGGTGGAAACCACATATTCTTTGGACCAACAGAACTCAAACTATGGTCAGGAGGACCTAAGATCCCAGGCCCATACCCTGTCTAGACAGGAAGAGCAAACCTAACAGTGTCTGTTCCTTTCATTTTTCCTACTTCTGCCATCTCTCTGCTGTAGAAGGGGGGCAGTATATAAGGAGAGGAGGCAGCGTGGGGCTTTGGGGGTGTTGAATCTCAGCTCTGCCGCAGCCAGCCGTATGACCTATGGCAAGGCATGTGCTCTCTGAGGCTCTTTTCCCCTGTGAAAAGGAGAGAGAACACCTCCTCCATTGGGCTATGATGCTAACTGAATGCGATCCCTGAATGCAGCAGGCCCTAGAGAGGCAATGGGGGCCCCATGGCTCTCAGGAGTGAGGAAGTTGGGTTTGCCTCCTGGCTCCTCCTCTTTCTAGCTTGGTGAGTAAAGTGGGAATAAGGAAAATACCTTCCTCAGAGCAGTGTGAAGAGGAAATGAGAGGCCAATAATGAGCTCTTAGCACAGTGCTCAACTCGGAGAAAGTCAGTTAATGGCAGCCATTGTTTAATTAGGTTATGAATGGAATATCTTTATATTGCACAAATGACTCCCCCAAATCTTATACTGAGTTAAGAGTGGAGGAGTTTGAAACCACGTTGCAAGCCATTCATCAACAAACAGCAATCTCTTCCAGATAGCTAACCCCAAGGGGCCATCGGGACTCCTCGCAATAATGGAGCCCCTCCCATGACATAAACCTAGCGACACAAACCCAATTCCATGTCAGCACACGTGGCCAGGAACATCTACTCCTTTCAGTCTGGAAGCCAGAATAACTTTACAGATCTTCTAGCAGACAGAGCCATGGAGGTCAAACCAGAAACATCAAAACCATATTTCCCAGGGAGTCCCAAACCTCCTCATTCACATGGACAAGGGGGAGACTGGGTCTACTTCAAACAGCTGCCCATGAGGCCACCCGAGTAGTAACATTGAGACTAGCGTGTGGTCATGTGTTAGCGTGGCAAATGTGGCAGCCAGTTGCTTTTGCTAAAGTGAGCTCGCTATCTGGTTAGACCTAAGGTAACCAAGATTTATGGGACATGGAACCACAGAGCACTGTCAGCAGATACCCTGCTACATGGAAAAACGGCTGCTTGATGATGGTCCAGGAGAGAAATGTAGACTTGAAGTGCCCCATGTCGCTCACATGGAAAGCCCTCTGGTCCCTCTTCAGTGGGGTTGCCCAGCGCAATGTGCTGGAGAGGGACAGCAAGACCCCCAGACTCCCCGGCTCCCACAGAAAGAGGAACTGAGGAGACCCGGGGATTGCTTCACAGCCCTCCAGATGCAAGTTATCAGAGCGAAGCAAGACTAAAGAAATGAACCACCCTCCAACTTTCTCCACTGAGACAAAGGGGGCAGAGACAGCAGAGATAGAAACAACCACAGCAGTCTCCCCTCCTTCCCCTTCTCTGAAATCACATCCACGTCCCCTCCCCCAACTCACAGGAGTCAGACCTCAAGAGTTCATTACCCACCACATCATTTGGGAGGCTCTGGAGGTCATCAAAGGGAGTTTCCAGGGTGTTGGTGTCCACGTTGAGGATCACGACATCATCTAGGGCCATGTTTCTGACTTTCTGCAAATAAAAAATTTCCAAGAGAAAAAAATCATTGAAGCACCATGAGGCCACAGATACTTCCACTGGCCCTCTCTGGGGAAGGGGCATAAGGAAGAACAGTGACAAAGGCTTTGACAAAGGCTCATTTTGTGGCAGGCCCAATGCTAGGTGGTTCACATTTTCTGAGTCCTTTTAACTGTCACAAAAACTCTATAAGCTTTATAGTCATCCCCAAGTCCCAGGAGTGGAAAGGGTTTCACAGAGATGAAGCTGACTAAGTTAACATGCTCAGGTCACACAGCTAGGAAGAGAGATCTTTACACTCCAACATTATTTTTTTCTTATATTTTCTTTTCTTTTTTTTTTTTAAAACAGTAGAAGCTGCAGTCTAAAACTCTGGCCCCCAGGAACTCTTGATGTACAGCTAGGCCCTATGACACCCACATTCAACCCATCCCCTTTCATTTACCAAAAGCTACTTGCCCATCTCTCTTTTGGACCTTGTCATACTTGGGTTTGGAATATGGTGTATGGCCTAGTGTTAACATTTAACATTTCCCTTAAACATTAAGTAGGAAGGTCACACTTTCAGTTGGGTCCCATTTTCCATAGAAACCCAGTTAGTGAGTCAAGGCTCAGAGGCTCTGGCCATCTATTATTCTACTGGCTGGTGATGGAGAGGGTAAGGGAGACGTGCTTACTGGGTCCACATGTCTGTGCCCCGGGGAGGAAGGGATAGGTAAATACAGAGAAAGGAAAAGTCCATTTGGGAGCAACTCTCCATAGACTGTAGAAGTATGAGATTATGTGTAGCCTGAGTTTTTAATTTCTAATCATGCTATTCACTCACTACTGGAATCCACCTCCATTTTTCTCCTGCTCACCCACCACTCCCAATCTCATTCAACCCTCTTCTCTCAAATATCAAAGCTCATTCCCTTAGAGTCTAGAACTTCAGAACTGCTGTCTTTATCCCACTTGGCCTTGGTTCATTAGAAAGACTTTCCAGTTCCCAAACTGGAATATTTGTGGGTGTGAAGGACAACATAATATGCCAGGGCAAAAGACATACAGTGGGACATATGGCCGCCTTACATATGTAAGGGATCAATCTATTAGCTGCCCTCTGAGGCACTGCATATGACCATGCAGATGTGCACTGCCCAAGGACGCCCAGCCAGCCAGCTGGGGCTGAAATCTGCTAAGCCGCATGCCTAGGTCAGGGGTGGTGGCGGTGGGAGGAAGGAGATGCCTTTTCCTAATTCATCCAAGAGAACTGCATAGCCTAGTGTTGGGGCTGGACCATCTATGGCTGCTAAAGCCAGAGTCTGCTAACAACCTAGAAATGGACAATTATAATACAGAATATATAATAATATAATATAAACTAGAAGCCTACTGGTGTTTTATACTTTATCTCATTTAACTCTTACCAAACTCTGCAAAGTGCATGTTATTACCCTCATTGTATGTACCTGGAGAAAAAGGAGGCTCAGAGAGGTGAGGTAAGGGGCGGACATAATCGCATGGGCCGCCTCCACAGCTATGTTCCCATGGCACCACACCGTCAGCCCCCCTGTCACAGGGCATCTCAGTGAGACCTCCACAGAGCCCTTGTCCCTGAGCCCCAGCACCCCTCTGCCTGCCTGCCTTCCTCTACTGGGGTGTGGGCTCCTTTAGGGGCTCATCCATTTGGCTCACCACTGCATGATGACCAGCACCCAGAATGACTGGCACCTGGTAAGCACTTAGTAATACTGGCTGATGCTTATTCTCTCAAACAGCAGTCTCTAGGACAGAACACGGTGCTTAAGTAAACATTTTAAGATTCCTCCCAGCAGGAGGGTGGAGCTGAGCTGGTTAGAAGCCTCCTACCGTTGAAAATGGTCTCAGGTGGCAGCATCCTGGGTCCCTCCACTGAACACACCTAGGAGCCTCAAACTCCTTTTGCTACTGAGTCTTCCAAGCCACCAGGGGCTAGCCCACAAACCTCTCAATCCACTCACCATTTCCTAAGTGTTCGCTATGGGCTGAGAACCACAGAGAAGGGACAAAATTGCCTCCTTACAAGTTTATTCTGCCCTCCAAACCCCAACACTCACATTAATTGACTGCTTTGTTTACAGGGTAAAAAGCTATCAGCCAAGAGCCCTGAGAATAACACAAATCACTAGTGTTTCACAAAGCACAATCCCCACTTTTCAGATGAGAACATTAAGACTCATGGTGAACTGTCCAGGGCTCCTTTGCTGCCTCGTTTTTCAGTCCAGCAGATTAAACACCTAGCGGTATGCTGGCAGGAAGTTACACAACAGCCTCTACAACGACCCTTTTCACTCCTCTCACCGGTCAGAGCCCACACAGATCCTTTTGGATTTGACAATTTAGCTAGAGACAAAGTATCACCATTCCTGCCCCAGGAATGAGAAACAGGCTCAGAGAGGTGAAGTGGCTTACCGCAGGTTATGCGGCTACTATTTGGCTACTTTTTCTGCAAAACTGGTAAGATAACTGTGACCACTGTCCTTACCCCCCCTATGCACACAGTGCTAGGCACACAGGATAAACAGTAGCTATGATTATTACTCTTACAATCCACACATCAGCCCTGGCAAGTCTGAAAGCTGTAGTGCCAACTGCCTAAGGACAAAAACCTGCTGGCCCCTTCTCAGCAGCTAAGGGGCTGTCACCTCAAAAGCCGAAACACCAGAAATGGAACTGGAGAAGGGGCCGCAAGGAACTCCATAACTCAGCAAGGGACTCCAGGCCCGGATGGTCACTGCACCCCAGAGTTGCCTATTCTGCCTCATCTGACCTTCTAAATGGCCCCAGACAGAAGGGGGCAGGGGGCTTGGCCACTGCAGAGAAGCTTCAGAGGCTGAAAGGCCCAGCAAGAGGGATGTTGATTCTGGACCAGAATCAGGCATTGTTCCTGTATTCCCAGTGAGGCCCCAGCAGCACAGACCAGCCCTTGTGGGCTCTCCATGGCCTGGGCTGGAACAGGCTTTTGATTTCTTCCCACTCCTGGCTGGAGGGCTTGCCGGTTAAGCTGTGTGGAGTGTTTACTTTTTCAACAATGGCAGCAGGCTGAAGAAGAGGAAAAAACCTGGCCCTTTTTTCTGACTTAGCAGGCCAGGGTCCCCTTAGTAACCAAAATGCCCAAGCCCCAGGCTCCAGGCAGGAGCTGGGTCGGCAGAGCTTCCTCTTATAGGACAATGCTGCCCTCCCGGCAGCAAGGCCTCTTCCAAAGGGGCTGGCGTAGACTCAAGGGCCTTCCTGAAGCTCAGTGTTCCCAAGGAGAGAATCAGAGGCCAGCTCGGCCGGATGGTGCCTTATCCCTGAAAGGCTCTAGGAAACAAGAGCAATGAAGAAAAAGGCCAACCGCTCTCCCCCACCTGCCCCCCACCAAACAAAAACCTAATCCCACAAAAACCTTCAAACTGGGGGGGGTGTCAGTGAGAAGTGCTGGTAGAGGAGGAAGCTGGACCATGACTGGCTGCCAGCTCACTTAATTCCAACCACGGTAAGAGAAGATAGGACCATCTCCATGGGAGGGATGAGAAAATGAGGCTTGGAGAGGTCAAAGAAAATGCCCCAAATCACACCACTAGTGAGCAGCAGAGCTGACTTCTGAACCCACTCTGACTCAAAAGCCTAACTATTTCTAAAGACAACCCAAATCCAACTGCTCAGACCTCAAAACAAGTACCTGTAGGGCATGAAGCTATAGGAACACTCCGGGGCCAGCTTTCTCTGACACAAAATAACACTCGCCTTTTATATCATAAAAATCACATACGCCTGTTAAAAATAAAAAAAAGGGGGGGTGTCTGGGTGGCTCAGTTGTTGAGCATCTGCCTTTGGCTCGGGTCATGGTCCTAGGGTCCTGGGATCGAGCCCCACGTCGGGCTCCCTGCTCGGCGGGGGGCCTGCTTCTCCCTCTCCTACTCCCCGGTTGTGATCCCCCTCTCACTGTCTCTGTCAAATAAATAAAATCTAAAAAAGAAAAAAAAAGGGATGGACAAAAAAGTTCAAAGAAGGAAATTATAGTTACCCTCATCCCTCCGTTTGGAGATAATGTTTTGATGTCTCCTTCCATAACCCTTCACCCCGATCCCTCCTTTAAAAAATATAGTTAAAACAATTCTTAATATTTCTTTCTGATTTTCTCATTATTACAACATACGAATGCTCCATTTCATTAAAAACTTTATAAAGACCATTACTAATTGCCACAAAATGTTCCATTTCACGGAAACAAAACACAACCAACCCCCTCCTGTTGGCTGTTATTTCCAGTTTTTCAGAAATTTTTATATATAATATTGTCGTGAAACTTGTAGGCATAAAGCCTTGTGCTTTAGGATGGATTCCTAGAAGTGGAATTTACTTTCCACTTCTTAAAAAGTGTCCCTCTCAAATTCGACTTTGAGGGAGATATCTTTACTTCCAATTATTTTAAAGTCATTTTATCCACAGCTTGTGTTTCCTACTCTAAGTGAAGAAAAATCAGCAAAGACACGAGCAGATGTCAAAATAGTCCTCCAAAAACCCTACCCAATTAAAACACTTACTAGTACCGCAGCACACCGAGACAGCTCTCCGGTAGCTTGTCCCACCAACACATTCCCTCTCTTTTTAGTTACAACATATGCCAAAGCTCCTGCCAGCTGCAAACCCTCCCCCCACCAGACTCCACAGGCTTTTTCTCAGAATGAAAAAAAAAAAAAATACTGACATGCACACCGACTTTCCAAATGGCATTTCTTGCACAGAGAAACACACAAAAATGGCATCTTCCCATAAATATTGTTAATCAGAAATGTCTTTCTCTTCATGCTTTGTCACAGACAGACTTAGCCTGACCCCAGCCTTTCAGGACAGGGAAAGAAACATCGTCGTTCGGGAGGTGGTCAGTGCAGCTGAGAGGTTATGGGCTCTAATACAGGCTTCACCTATGGATCGCACCTCTACCTTGAGGGCTGCCTTAAGGCAACTCACTCACCCCCCTAAATCCT